CAGGGAGCACGGCTGCATTGTTTACACTGCAGCTCTCCTCCCTGTCAGTTTGAGCACACTGGTCCGGATCGCTGAGCACAGCCTGCCGGATCAGTGTGTTACAGTGAAGCACACCCCCCCCCCTAGTGAAACACTCCCCTCACACAGTTAACCCTTTGATTGCCTCCAAATGTTAACCCATTCCTCCCCAGTGTCATTAGTAGAGTGTTTTTTGTTTTTTTTTTTTGCGCACTGATCACTATATTGGTGTCACTGGGGATGTCAGTGACCCAAAGTCAGTTCCCCCCCCCCAGTGTCAGAATGCACACCGCAGTCCCCCGTTGCTGATCGCCGCCATTATTATTATAAAAAAAAAAAATCCCAGTATCTATACCACCATCTGTAAACGCTATAACTTTCACGTGAACTAATTAATTTACATGTATTTAATTTTTTTTTTTTTAGCAAAGACATGTAGTTGCATACATTTTGGCCTAAATTTATGACGAAATGTTGATTTTACATTTTTTTACTGGACAGGTTTTATAGCAAAAAGTCCCAAAATATTTTTTTTTTTTCTCAAAATTGTCAGCCTTTTTTTTTTATAGTGCAAACAAAAAAAAAAAAAAAAACGCACAGGCGATCAAAACACCACCAAAAACCACCAAAAGAAAGCTCAATTTGTTGGCGAAAAAGAACTTAAATTTCATTTTGGTGCAGTGTTGCATGACCGCTCAATTGTCAGTTAAAGTAACGCAGCCCCGTAACACAAACTGCTTCTGTAACTGCTTCCTGACCGCCCTATAGCAGAAACACTGCTAGAGGGGGCACGGGTGTGCAAAATCATATATATATATATACATACATACATACACACACACGTGATTCGCACTCCTGTGGTTTTCACGGCCCTCCCAGATAGCGTCAGATTGCCTGTCCGCACACCAGTAATCACATTTAACCCCTTGATTGCCAGGAACACGCTCATACACAATAAACATCCATTGCTAGTATAGGGATCAATATATTTGATCAGATCAGCACTATACCAGCGTTCACATTAGTATAGTATCCCAAAAATGCAGCATTAGCGGGATCCGCCCCCCTGCGTTTAGCCCCTATGCTTGCCCCCCCTTCTCCCCCAGCAAGTGCAGTGAGCAAGGTCAGTAGGTCACTGTCACTTGATACATTGCACACAAAACCGCAGTGTTGGCAGAATCAGGCCTGATCTCTGTTAGCACTTGCCGGTAAATATTTATGACTCTCATATGCAGAAGAGTGCCAGTACTAGTGCCGCGCTATCTTTTGGTGAACTGGAGAGCACCAGCGACCTAGTACATCCTGGTCTTTCACATACCAGCACTGCAGTATCACTTGGTGACGTGGCGAGTCCCATAAGTGCAGTACAAGCTGGTGCAGTGGCGAGCACAAGTATTGTCCCGCAATCACCAAGAATTCGCACACAGGCCCATAGAGGTCCTAGTATCCTTCCGGATGTGCTTGTAAATCCCAGTTGGCAGCCCACAAATTCTGCAGCACCCGTACTTCCCCCATTCACTGCCCAACCCGGAATTCAGATGGAAACAGCAAATTTAACTCCTCCCCTTGATTTTTGGAGCTGTTTTTCACGGAATATCTGTATGCGTTGATTGTGGATCAAAGCATTTTATATGCACAACAATTTATCGCTGTCAACCCAAATACATCCCTTGCCAGACCATTCACAAGGAAACCCATTACGGTTTCCAAATTTACATTTTTTTTGGGGGCTAACCCTCAAGATGGGCATTACTAAAAAAAAGAAATGAATTTCGGTTGTATTGGGTCCGCAGACCCGATTCACCATATGCCGTGTTCTCTGCTGCCATGGCCAGGCATAGATATGAGAGTATAATGTGTTTTATGCATTTCAACAGCAATACATCCTGTCGTCCTCGGGGTGACCCTGAATTTGATTGGCTACACAAAATTCTGCCCCTCGCAAATCACCTTAATCAAAAATTTGCAGATGTCTATACTCCCCAGCAAAACATCTGCGTTGATGAGTCCCTCATTCATTTTTCTGGCCGCCTTGCATTCAAACAATTTCTCCCCAGCAAGCGTGCCAGATATGGGGTCAAGATGTAGAAGACCTGTGAGAGGGCAACAGGCTATACTTATAAGTTTCAGATTTACGAGGAAAAAGACTACATGGGGAGCAGTGGCAAGATAGTTTGGGACTTGGTGTCATCCTTTTTCCATATGGGGTACCACTTATACGTGGACAATTTTTATTCAAGCGTGCCACTATTAGACATTTGTACAATCTTGGAACTGGCGCATGTGGCACCGTGTGACCTGGGTGTGAAGTGGGTGGGTGCTGGGTGGTATATTCTAATAGTGGGCATACCACACACTTTTTCTGGCAGAGATTTCTTCTCTTTTTTTTTTTCATTCACTCTGCCAATCCCTCCACTGGCTTCCCATTGCCCAACAGATAAAATTCAAAACATTAATAACATATACAGTCAGGTCCATAAATATTGGGACATCGACACAATTCTAACATTTTTGGCTCTATACACCACCACGATGGATTTGAAATGAAACAAACAAGATGTGCTTTAACTGCAGACTGTCAGCTTTATTTGAAGGTATTTACATCCAAATCAGGTGAACGGTGTAGGAATTACAACAGTTTGCATATATGCCTCCCACTTGTTAAGGGACCAAAAGTAATGGGACAATTGGCTTCTCAGCTGTTCCATGGCCAGGTGTGTGTTATTCCCTCATTATCCCAATTACAATGAGCAGATAAAAGGTGCAGAGTTCATTTCAAGTGTGCTATTTGCATTTGGAATCTGTTGCTGTCAACTCTCAAGATGAGATCCAAAGTGCTGTCACTATCAGTGAAGCCATCATTAGGCTGAAAAAACACAAAACAAACCCATCAGAGAGATAGCAAAAACATTAGGCGTGGCCAAAACAACTGTTTGGAACATTCTTAAAAAGAAGGAACGCACCGGTGAGCTCTGCAACACCAAAAGACCCGGAAGACCACGGAAAACAACTGTGGTGGATGACTGAAGAATTCTTTCCCTGGTGAAGAAAACACCCTTCACAACAGTTGGCCAGATCAAGAACACTCTCCAGGAGGTAGGTGTATGTGTGTCAAAGTCAGCAATCAGGAGAAGACTTCACCAGAGTGAATACAGAGGGTTCACCACAAGATGGAAACCATTGGTGAGCCTCAAAAACAGGAAGGCCAGATTAGAGTTTGCCAAACGACATCTAAAAAAGCCTTCACAGTTCTGGAACAACATCCTATGGACAGATGAGACCAACATCAACTTGTACCAGAGTGATGGGAAGAGAAGAGTATGGAGAAGGAAAGGAACTGCTCATGATCCTAAGCATACCACCTCATCAGTGATCATGGTGGTGGTAGTGTCATGGCGTGGGCATGTATGGCTGCCAATGGAACTGCTTCTCTTGTATTTATTGATGATGTGACTGCTGACAGAAGCAGCCGGATGAATTGTGAAGTGTTTCGGGAATATTATCGGCTCATATTCAGCCAAATGCTTCACAACTCATTGGACGCTTCACAGTGCAGATGGACAATGACCCAAAACAGACTGCAAAAGCAACCAAAGAGTTTTTTAAGGGAAAGAAGTAGAATGTTCTGCAATGGCCAAGTCAATCACCTGACCTGAATCCGATTGAGCATTTCATTTGCTGAAGACAAAACTGAAGGGAAAATGCCCCAAGAACAAGCAGGACCTGAAGACAGTTGCAGTAGAGGCCTGGCAGAGCATCACCAGGGATGAAACCCAGCGTCTGGTGATGTCTATGCGTTCCAGACTTCAGGCTGTAATTGACTGCAAAGGATTTGCAACCAAGTATTAAAAAGTGAAAGTTTGAATTATGAATATTATTCTGTCCCATTACTTTTCGTCCCTTTTTTGTTTTTTTCAGCCTAATGATGGCTTCACTGATAGTGACAGCTCTTTGGATCTCATCTTGAGAGTTGACAGCAACAGATTCCAGATGCAAATAGCACACTTTAAATGAACTCTGGACCTTTTATCTGCTCATTGTAATTGGGATAAAGAGGGAATAACACACACCTGGCCATGGAACAGCTGAGAAGCCAATTGTCCCATTACTTTTGGTCCCTTAACAAGTGGGAGGCACATATGCAAACTGTTGTAATTCCTACACCGTTCACCTGATATGGATGTAAATACCCTCAAATTAAAGCTGACAGTCTACAGTTAAAGCACATCTTGTTCGTTTCATTTCAAATCCATTGTGGTGGTGTATAGAGCCAAAAATGTTAGAATTGTGTCCATGTCCCAATATTTATGGACCTGACTGTAATTCCTGTATAATAGAATGTAAACAATCCCATGGCCTGTATGCTGGTCTCTGCTTTCCCTGCCCTCACACAGGTCTTTGTGTGTTCTGTATGTGATGCGGTGATGTGAACACATCTACATACATGTGGATTCTACATCCTTCAGCTTCCTATACATCACAGAGCCCCATAGGAACTACCTGTCCGCTCTGTAATGGCATCTAATTACATATCAGCTCCCCGCTGTGACATGCGCATTCTCCGCCTCATATTCCTCCCCTCAGCGGTATCCAGGCCCACACCACACACCAGTAGGCGGTTCCCACCTGCAGGACCCACATAACCACCCCGGCCTTCCGCCATTTCACACACACCCAGTAAATCCCGTTTTCTGATTCGTTATAGGCTATTATTCTCACGTGACCACTATAATCCGCGCCCCCTAACCATCCACGTTCTGTCATCATGTGACCAGTGTTATCCACGCCCCGTCTAACTTCCAGGTCATGACGCAAGATTACATCCATTTCTGCTGATCGATTGGCTCAGTCTGGCAGTCTGCGGCTGCGCACATGTGTGTCGGCGGTCGATTATATGCAGTTCCCGGAGGCGGATAATTCTAAAAGCGTGTAGGAAGCGTTGGCTCCGAGGATCGGTCCGGTGGAGGGAAGTGCTGCTGAACATGGCGGCCAATGCAACCACCAATCCGTCTCAGCTACTGCCGCTCGGTAATGGTCCCTGTTGTTGGGATGACAAGTCCCGGCGTGCTCGGTATCTCTACCCTCTCGTGTCCCTGACCTTGTCTTTTGTTTTCATAGAGCTGGTGGACAAATGTATAGGATCCCGAATTCACATCGTCATGAAGAGCGACAAGGAGATCGTCGGCACGCTGCTGGGGTTTGATGACTTTGTCAGTATCCTTTGTGCTGGAAATCTGACCTCTCCCCAGTCCCGGGTGTAAGCGCCCCGCAGTCCCCGGGTGTAAGCGCCCCGCAGTCCCGGGTGTAAGCGCCCCGCGTCCCGGGTGTAAGCGCCCCGCAGTCCCGGGTGTAAGCGCCCCGCAGTCCCGGGTGTAAGCGCCCCGCAGTCCCGGGTGTAAGCGCCCCCGCAGTCCGGGTGTAAGCGCCCCGCAGTCCCGGGTGTAAGCGCCCCGCAGTCCCGGGTGTAAGCTTCCGCAGTCCCGGGTGTAAGCGCCCCGCAGTCCCGGAGTGTAAGCGCCCCGCAGTCCCGGGTGTAAGCGCCCCGCAGTCCCGGGTGTAAGCGCCCCGCAGTCCCGGGTGTAAGCGCCCCGCAGTCCCGGGTGTAAGCCCCCGCAGTCCCGGGTGTAAGCGCCCCGCAGTCCCGGGTGTAAGCGCCCCGCAGTCCCGGGTGTAAGCTTTCCCCCCGCCCCGGGTGTAAGTCCCCCGCAGGCAGGGTGTAAGCGCCCCGCAGTCCCGGGTTCTTAGGTGTAAGCGCCCCGCAGTCCCGGGTGTAAGCGCCCCGCAGTCCTTGTAACATGATTTCCTATGGGACTCGTTCACAACTCCGTCTTCTCACCCGCTCTGATCTTTGGAAAGGGGTCAGGGACTCTTCTAACCACCTCCCGCCCGACATACAGTCCAATGACGGGCGCAAGGCGGTTCTCTCGTTCTGGGAGGGTATCATGACGTCCTCCCATTCTTACCGCGCTTATGCGCAGCTCAGGGAGCGATCAGCGGTGCGCTGTGTCTGTCAGACACACCGATCCACGGAAAGAGCTGAAGATGACGGCTTGGTCATGTGATCACAGCTGATCACGTGAACAGGGAAATGCCAGTTATCGGCATTTCTCTCCTCTTGAGCTGTCACACTGACAGAGGAGAGGAGAAAAGAGCCGGTAATCGGCTTTCCGCGGAGGGGAGATGTACACTGATCATCTGGGCACTGATGATCAGTGTAACCCCAGCAGTACCACCTATCAGTGCCTTGTGTCGGTGCAACATCAATGCCACATGTCAGTGCCTACCGGCGCACATCAATGCCACATGTCAGTGCCTACCGGCGCACATCAATGCCACATGTCGGTGCCTACCGGCGCACATCAATGCCACATGTCGGTGCCTACCGGCGCACATCAATGCCACATGTCAGTGCCTACCGGCGCACATCAATGCCACATGTCAGTGCCCATCTGGGCAGGAAGGGGGTAGAAGTGCCCTGTAGGCAGGGAGGGGGTAGAAGTGCCCTGTAGGCAGGGAGGGGGTAGAAGTGCCCTGTAGGCAGGGAGAGGGGGTAGAAGTGCCCTGTAGGCAGGGAGGGGGTAGAAGTGCCCTGTAGGCAGGGAGGGGGTAGAAGTGCCCTGTAGGCAGGGAGGGGGTAGAAGTGCCCTGTAGGCAGGGAGGGGGTAGAAGTGCCCTGTAGGCAGGGAGGGGGTAGAAGTGCCCTGTAGGCAGGGAGGGGGTAGAAGTGCCCTGTAGGCAGGGAGGGGGTAGAAGTGCCCTGTAGGCAGGGAGGGGGTAGAAGCGCCCTGTAGGCAGGGAGGGGGTAGAAGCGCCCTGTAGGCCCTGTAGGGGAGGGGTAGAAGCGCCCTGTAGGCAGGGAGGGGGTAGAAGCGCCCTGTAGGCAGGGAGGGGGTAGAAGCGCCCGGTAGGCAGGGAGGGGGTAGAAGCGCCCGGTAGGCAGGGGAGGGGTAGAAGCGCCCTGTAGGCAGGGAGGGGGTAGAAGCGCCCGGTAGGCAGGGAGGGGGTAGAAGCGCCCGGTAGGCAGGGAGGGGGTAGAAGCGCCCGGTAGGCAGGGAGGGGTAGAAGCGCCCGGTAGGCAGGGAGGGGGTAGAAGCGCCCGGTAGGCAGGGAGGGGGTAGAAGCGCCCTGTAGGCAGGGAGGGGGTAGAAGCGCCCGGTAGGCTAAGGGTTAAACGCAAAATGTTGTGTTTTGGTTCAATAGACTATTCAACGGGGACGCTACAGAAATGCACGTAGTGCAGTTTTGTTTTTTGTTTTTTTTTCCTTGTGTTTTAATACTGTGTGTGTGTGTGTGTGTGTGTGTGTGTGTATGTGTGTATATATATATATATATATACACACACTATGTTGAAATGCATTTTTATTGCAAAATATATGAAAAAAAATTCTAAAAATACATTTTCAAATATACTGTAGGTCTTTAAAAGTACATTAAATCTACATATTTGGAATACATTTACAATTATATGTAAAAATGTTAAATTTTATGTTAAAAAAAATCAGAATATCTGAAAAAATATATTTTTCATATATTTTGTAATAAATAAAAACGCAATTCAACATGATATTTGGCCAAAATTGTAGTATTTCAAATATATATTAATATATTTGGGAAGAATATTTTTTTAAATCTTTTTCTTCCATGTGGGCCTCCCCCATAAAAATGTGTCAAAAACATGTTCAAAAATGCACCGCAGAAATGGATCAAATGCAAACAGTATAGGTGTGAACCCAGCCTTGTGGTTTAGGGCCTCATGCACACTGCAGCTGCCAAATGCCTGGTTTACGCGTGTTTGATGTTTGTTTTTTCCTGCCCCTAAATGTCCCTCTGTGTGTCCATGCACACATGGGCGTACAGGGGCAGAAATCTGAACGCATGAAAATCACATTCAGAAGGAGTGTTTGGGAAGAAGAAACACCTGACACGTCTAAAACCCCCCCCCCCACCCCCCCCCCCCCCCCCCCCCCCCCCCCCCCCCCCCCCCCCCTAAACGCTAGGTACTTGAGTGTTCATTTCAATAAGCAGAATAAATTATTATTCCGGCCAATTAAACTATAACTACAGGCACATTTTTTTTTTTTTTTTTAAAGTTTTGGATAGATTGGAGATGGATTCGAACCCCTGGCATTTTTTAATTTTTTTTTTATTGCTGTCTGTGCCCCGGTTCAGGAGATTCACCTTCCCTATTTGTCCTGATTACCATTATCATTGAAATGAAAAGAAAATCTAAAATTTTGGGTTGTCCCCAGAAAAGTAACCGGAGTCTTTCAATGGGGACACTAGTTCTGGAGGCCCCAAGGAGTTCCTTTTAATTTGCAGGGATTTCCTCACACTTCCTGTTCTATAGGACTGGAAGGGAAGAGACATCTCTGCAATGGGACACAGGTGACAGAAGAACTATTTTACTGAAAGAGTAGTTGATGCTTGGTATAAACGTCCAGCTGAGGTAGTGAGCCAGTCAGCAGTAAATGGCTTCAAACATGTTTGGGGAGAAGCATAGATCTATACTCAGACAAAAAGTTAACAACCCCCCCAAAAAAAAAACAATCGGCAAACTCAATGGACCACTCAGTCTTTTTCCGCTGTTAGATTTTTTTTTATTTTTTTTGACGGGTTATAACCATCTCTTGCTTTATCCAAATTTTGCTCTATTCCAATGAAAACAAAGTTTTGTCTCTTTGTTCTACTTTAACTACTTGCCAACCTCAGATAGACGAATGACGGCTACACTGCAGGCGGCTAGTTCTGGGTGGGGTCATATGACGTCCTCCCAGAACACGCCCTCCTGCGCTCCCCCGGGGGCGCGCACCTGGCGATCTCCGTGATCACTGTGTCCTAAGGACACAGCTGATCACATGATGTGGTAAAAGGCCAATCACAGTGGCCTTTTACCACGTGATCCGTCGTGTCCAATGACACGCTGATCACCGGGAAATGCAATTTCCGGTTCTCGGCTGCACTTTCCTCACGCTGTCAGATCGTGAGGAAAGTACTGCCGAGAACCGGCAGTTGTCAGAGCAGTTGTTCTGCTCTTGTTCTGGCAGTTGTTCTGATCAGGGCCACCTGTCAGATTTTCGGAAAGTTTATTCATCCATGTGGACAGGCGGGTGTAAATAGAATTTGTCCAATTATACCTGCCTACCTCTGGGTCTGATCAGGTCCACTAAAAATAAAAATTGGTAGATCCATTATCTTCCATTTAGGTGGAGCGGATCAGAGGCAGCCTGGTGTAAACTGGCAACGTAGTGTATTTACACCCAGCTGCCCATAGAGGAGAGCGGGCTCTGCCCTTGTCTGCTCCGCATAAGAAGAGCGCACATGGATGTGTCATCCATCCATTCTTCTTCCATCAGAAGGTGATCAGCTCACAGATCCTCTGCTGATTGCAATGGAATCCACCCCATGTTTAACCAATACATTCCCGGCCAAAAGGCGGCCGGAAAAATGTATTGGATTTCTGGGTTGGATGCCAAATGGCGTCCTCCCGCACATGTTGTTGCGTTGATAAATATACTAAATAGCGAGTCGCTTATACTTTAACCACTTCTGGACCCCTCTATAGCAGATATACTACAGGGCAGCATGGGTGCGCAAATCACGTATATATACGTACGTGTGTGTGTGTATATATATATATTATATATATATTATAATCATTTCCGGGTAGGGGGCACGTGCCATTCCCGGCCGAGCATCTCCTACAGGAAGGAGAACTGTATGTAAACAATACAGTTATCCCTGTCAGCTCATACACATTGCTTTGGATGGCTGTGCATGGCACAGCCATGCAAAGCAGTGTGATTACGGTGAAGCATACACACAGAGCCTACAGTGAAACCGCTCACAGTTAACCCTTTGATTGCCCCTCTTAACTGTCACTGCGAGCCCCAGGTCCCGTTCTAACAATCGGGACTCCTGATTCTGGGCACATGATTGCTGTGATAGTCTCTAATTTGGCTATCAAAGTGATCAGTCACTATATAGCCTGCCCCCCTTGTTGGTGTTTTTGTTTTTTTTCTTTATGAATGGAGGCGAGAGATACATTGTATCTCTCTAATGCCTGGCATAGAGGGAAAAAAAATGTTTGTTTAAAAAACAAAAAAGATAAATGTTAAATAAAAGAATACCTAGATCAAGGTTTGATCTAGTTCAGTGCCAGGGTAAGTGGTTGGGTCAGGGTCAAAGGTCAGGATTTTTTTTTTTTTTTCCCTCTT